ATTTTTAAAAATTGTTCCTAATTTAAACAGCAAAAGCTGTTCTGTCATTTTTATTGTCAAATCGCTCTCTCTGTGACCATTTTACATAAAACCGAATAGGCTATATAAATATTGCATGGGCATTGTAGTCCGGCATTGCTATATGGCCTTTTCAAATAGGAATAATGCACAAAAGCATTTAAGGAATCAAGAATTATAAACCAGGTTCTGGTTCTTTCAAAATACCTTTCCTACGGAAAGCTACAAGTTTCTTTAAAATCAAAATTTAAAATTTACATTAGTTGTATTGTCATGTCTTTTAAGGTGAAGTAATGAGTATTAAGCCTTACAATAATCAGAACGTTGTGATTAGATTTTAATTATTTAATTTTTTTATATGAGTTGTATTCACTCTATTTCGTTTAAGGTGATAAAGGACTGCTAGTTGATATTTCCCACAATGATATGGGTAGAGCTGACGTTTCTATTGAATTTCACGCAGCCTTGCTTTCCCAAAAGATGTTCTCATCTAGGGTGAACTGCAGTTTCGACCTCGCAGAGGTCTTGTGAACAAGCCATGCGGGAGTCGAACCATGAGAGTGCAGCGAGTAAGCTCGACATGTTAACCATTACGTCACATTGAGATGAGAGCCCTAGGGTCACATGGGAGATGTAAATTTCAAGGAACGTCAGGAATTTTATATATCACATTCTGTGTTAGGATTGTCGATGAAGCGAACTTATATTTGCTATAGCAATCGACGACATTACTTTTTTCGTGAGTAAGTAGGCTTTTAAGACTACCAGTAAATCAGATATATGAGTTAGGTTTACTCTATTTCGCTTAAGGTGACGAAGAACTGGTAGCTGAACTTTCCCACAATAGAAAACATCAGCTCTACCTATATCATTATGAGAAAATTCAACTGCATCCTTTATCCCTTTAAACGAATTAGGGTAAAAACATATCATAATTCCGATTTACTGGTAGTTTAGAAAACCTAATGACTCATGATTAAATTCCTTAGTTCGTGAGGCACCCGATTTAAGTACTATACTTGCATTGCATTAATTAAATGCATTTTATTTTCAGGATTATTGCAAGATAATCCATTTAATCTCGATATTTCTATACAACTGAGCAAAAATTATTGTGATATTGAAAACTCAGAATATATTAAGTTCTTAAAACCTAAAGTTAAAGTATAATCTGATTGAGTAGCTGCTTATAACACACTTATAACACATCTCATTTAATTTCCTGATCGACTGGTACCCACAGTATTAATGTGTCTGACTGACACTATCTTACATCGTAATGCAGTTGGCGGTCGGTCTAAACGTTGCATATCTATAATGAATGCTTTTGCTTAAAATCGGCTCGTCTATCAATAACTCCATAATAATTAATTACTCTGTCTTTGCATATTATCTTCAGCACATCTCTCTCTCTCTGGACTATTCAATTAAGCTCATTTTGGAAAGTTTTATATGTATACGTCTATGATTCTATTAAAAAATTTATATTTTCCTGAAAATGGATTAAGTATGTTCTTCTTTCTGTTGAAATCTGTCTTTGGATCAACATGCAACTACAGTAGTTTAACTGACTCTGTAGCGACCGAAGGTCAAACCATAGTTTTCTCTTCGTCAACTACACTAGAAGCTGCTTCCTCAGCTTATTTCAAAATGCAATTGTACAGATGCCCCGACCTCTGATGGACCCTCAATACTGATGCACCATTACACCATTGCCCTATCCAACCTTAGTAAACGATCAGGTCACTGATGTTCGTTTATCTCTTCAATGGTTCTCTTTCATCTCCTCTCAAATGTCTATTTCTAGCAACTTTTCTTCGCATATCAAGAAATTGTGTTCTATAATCACATATTAATGCATGCTTATTATTGAAATCCACATTTATTTTACTATTTAGTTACCATTTTCGATCCGTGCTCTCCTGCTTATAGTCTCCACATTTATATCCTTTCAAATATCATTGCAAATTAAGCAATTTTAAGATGCATCGTCTCACTTTTTATGCTCAAGTGTTATAATGGCTTTTACTTACTTACTTTTACTTAATATCTTAAAATGATGATGATGTAGCCGCAACAAATTACATTGGTAATTAAGAGCCCGATACTTGAGCTACCAAAGATGAAAACATGTGAATGCTAAGCATCCCTCAAAGTAAATAACTAGCCCTAATATAACATAGATGTTACAACAGTTGGTAAAATTATGAGACCTTACCAATCCAATGTATCAAAGAAGAAGCTTACCTATATCAAAATATCTCGAATAAAGGATAACAATACAAAGCGTTTATTCTAAATTAATAAAAACCGCAACTTTGATGGCAGAAAAAAGTATTGTTGCTCTCATAATATAAAAAAAAATGCGAAAAAAACAGCATAAATTTTCAAATATAATCTACATTCATGATTCAACCTACTGAAAGGACTTTGCTCATGCATGGAAAACTGATAATGAAACTTAGCTAGTAAAAGGCAGCGTGAAATCCAAGGATATCCAGTCTAAAATAAGACTGTCTAAGCAAAGTATAGATCCGCTAGCATACAGTGACTATTTTGCTCCCAAAGGGAGGCAAGTAGGGGCAGATTTGGCATCATATACCAAATTTTATGACATAGACATTTTAGTGATGTAATTATCTATACCTACGACTTGAATAATAATGTAGAAGAAAAGTTAACCTCATCATCATATTTAAGCGGATAGTGGCTTATTTAATAAGTGAAATGTTGCTTTTATTAAAACTCAGATAAAAATTAATAACGTGGATAAATATGGCGCAATCATAGTAACGATAAAATCGTATCTATAGATGTTACTGTTCTTTAACAATATGCTCTACGAGCAGCATTCCTCAGCACGCCATTGGCTAAATTTGAAACTATTCATTAAAATCGTCTGTACTACGGGAAATTGATAAAATAGGAGCAAGTGCCAAAGGCTCAGTACTTTTCCAACTAGCATATATTGAACTTACTTGTCTTTGTCCGCCCTGCAGAGTGTCCACCGAAGACCTTCCGGTAGATGCCAAACGTGCTTTGTATCTGGCTAGACGCTCCTGCTTTGCCTGAATTTGACGCAGCTGACTGGCAATTTGCTGACGCTGTCTATTCGCCACAGACCGCATCTCTTCTACTGTCATCCGGTCGCTGGCTGCCACCACCTGTTTCTCAGCTTCCGCGACAATGCATGCGCCAAAACCTTTATCTGGCTTCAAATCTGGGTCCATCTCATGAACAGGACCTCTTTTCCCTTCGAGACCTGCCTCTCCGACACCAGATAATAAAAAATTATTTTCGTGGGCAATTGAGCTTCGAGCGACACCCATAGGACCCAATGGGCTCTTGGACACGCCTTCGGAGGACTGGACAGCCGGGTGCTGTAACTGAGGTTGATGTGGATATTGGTGAAATTGATTATGTGATTGTTGGTTTGGGTGGTGAGCAGTTAAGCTGGTAATTGCCGGAGACTCAGAATGAAGCTTCTGTGAGGTAAGTGGCAGTAATGGTATGATAGAATTGTTGCTAGGACTGACAGTTGTGGTGGCCGGACTTGTGGTATGGGTAAAACCTGTGGTTGTATTGGTGCATCCTGTTGCGTGGGCGTAATGAGTGATGGTCGTAGATTGATAGGGCGTAGGCGAAAGATGTCTGCGTGGCTGACCAAGAACTTGTCCGCCTGTATAACTAGGTTTATGATCACCAGTAATGATCGATGGTGAGGATAAGGGACCTTGACCACTACCAGCGCTTCCGCCACTACTCGAACTTGTGCTGGGCAATTCCAAAGTGCCACCAGAAGGTGGGCTACGCTGTGGACTGCTGGGTGTCGTCAAATCGCTGCTACCACCAGAATGCTATACAGGAAGTTAAATTAATTGTTGGTGTAATTAAAACTATGTTAATTAGAAAGAAATTTATAAAACCAAGAGAAAAGCAAGACGGAAAATAAGACGTAAAAAATTGAATGTCATCTAAAACCAAGAAGTCAAAACAATGTGGTGAAAATTTCATCAGGAAAATGAAAATTAACGTCATAATAAATAGTTTGAAAAAGATTATTAAAATTATGATATAAGGCCTAAATTGAGTAAAAGAAAAAGGTAAAATAAGGAGGAAATGAAAAATTAAATGCAAGAAAAAATAACGACCTAACACAGAG